AAACCCAGCGTTGTTTGAGGTTGGGTCAGCATGTCAAGGGTGTTGGCATTGTGGTTTGGGGTGGGTCTTCTGGTGTCCCCTGACAAGGCTTGATGCTGCGTTCGTTTCTGCCCGCACGCCTGCTCGCGCGCACTTGCACACCTGTGCATCTGCAGACGCGCTCTATGTGTTTGCGACTAGGCCGTCATATAAAGGCATTGAGTTTCTCTGCTGAAATGGTCTTTTGGCAGGGCTTGAAATCTGGAACAAAAATTGAGAAGACAGAGAGGTCAAACGATTGACAATGTTGAGCACCTGACACCCCACATCAAGCGATTGACGCCCTATGTCAAGCGACTATCAGAGTCATGTTCCCGGGAACTGCTGTACTATGTAAACAGGCATGGACTTTCTCACCCAGCATCTGGCGGCCTTTGACTGACTGAATGTTTCACATTGGCTTCAAACCAATGCTCGTGAACTCAACCCACTGCTGGCCTGCCTCTCCCAGCTACGCACGCGCCTGACCTGAGGTCGCTTCGATGACCTTGAACCTTGGAGGCTGGGCAATTGAGAGGGTTGCCAAAGAAGAACCATGTTTTCATTGTGTGAGGCTTGTCTTGGTGCCACTGAGTGTTGGGCCGCCTTGGAGTTGATGGACAAAAACGCTGGGCGTTACCAACCTCAATCAGTTTCAGCAAGCTTGACTCAGAGAGGCAGAAAACAGGCCAAGCTGTCAGGCTGACAAGACCCAGCTGCAAGCGATTGTTTTCCAAAGCACAAACGCCAGCTTTTAACAAGCAAGCGATTGGCCCCAATGTGCAATCGACTATTTGGTGGCCCGCACTAATTACAAATTTGCACGCTCACGTTGGGAGTCACTGATGCCTGGTTTTGCACAGTGTTGCTCAAATAATTGCTTCTGGACCTAGATCTGGAGCGTGATTTCCCCGGATCCTGCTCAGGTTCTGTAAGTTGTGTGACACAAGAGGGTAAGTTAAGGCAATCAAATTGTTTGAAGCTCCTGGATATCTGGCCCCAGGCCATATCGCGCCCTACGTAGGTACATCTTCCATGGCATGGGCTCGCCTGGGGCCATGTCGACCTGGGATTCAAGGACCAAGTCCATGAGCACAAAACCTGTTGACAAGCTGAGCCTGCTGCAGCTCCACAAGCAACTTCAGTGCTGGTGATCACACAAATGCTTGCAACGTGCGTGCAGGTGAACCGGGCAGCCTGCGCTTGGTGGCTGATCTCAAGGCCAGTGGGGAAGGTGTTGGGACAGCTGGCATAGGGGTTGGCGTCTTCTTCTCAATTCCTTTTGCACTTTCAGTGCTGGGACGTGCTTGGATACGACACGGAAAATGGCTTTGTTCATTTGTTCTGACCCAAGAGCGCAAAACATGTTGGATTGGTAGTGTCAATGGAAGAAATACTTGTTAGCTCCAAAAAGCATTTCCTTGTCCTTCAAAGATCTTTGAAGGTTGCTTTGCAACCAGAACGAGCTGACTTTCTGTTGTTCTGATCCAATGTCAAAGGAAAACAATTTGGATTAGTAGCTGTTCGAAGTTCGGCTTTGCAACCAAATCTTATGGTGATTGCCCTATTCCAGAATCTCACACGGGCAACGTCAAACGAACACAATTTGGATTGGCACTCTCAACAACAGAAATACTTGTAAGCTCAAAATAGCTTTTCGAAGGTTGGCTTTGCAACCAAATCTTATGGCGATTATCCTATGCCTATTCTAGAATCTCACACGGGCGGGTGTCATCCACATTGACTTCCTCCTCCTCCTCCTCCTGGGGTAAGGCGTTCATGTGGCCAGCAGCTCGGAGCACCACGACGGGCCTAAGAGGGCCAACCTCATGTGGATTGCGATTGGCCACACCATCGCCCCTTGTCAAACGATGCTCCAAAAACTCGTACTTGGCAGGTCTTGCTTGTCGGCGCCGTGTCTCAGTGATCCAGCCAACCAAGTAGTCACGAGCTTTCTGGCTAATACATTGCCTGGCAAGTCCTAACTCAGCCTCTTTCTTGACGACATTGCGCTCCTTCTGGGCAATGGGGCGTCTGGGGTTGTTGCCAACCTCAGGCCAAACCGTGCAATAAGTTAGCAGCCACATAACAAAACTAAAAAAAACTTATGGAACCAGCACAACGCCACATGCAAAAAAACTGAATGCGGAATGCAGCTTTGGCAACTGGTTGGACAACCATGTGATTTTGCAAGTGGATGGCTTCTTGCGCTGGAAAAAGCAATACCAACTGGAAAGGGGCCACATCACTCATGAAGGAGTGTAATGCAAGCATAACGTCATCTGGGTGCTCTCTTACACCTGGCTGAGCAGTTGGAGCAGTTGTCATTGTTGCATGCTCGAAATCTTGGCGGCTGAAGTGCTTGCGCCTGCAAATGCGAAATAGGTGGGGTGCTAGGGGGCCTGTCATGGCCTTGAATGTCAAAGGCACATCCTCAATCCACTTGCCCCAGTCTGCACTTTCGTCATGCTTGTAACATTGCTGTAGGTATGTACCCGCCTCCAGCTTGGCCTGTCGCAAAAAGTTGTCGTACACTTGGACCAAGTCCATGTCGTCCTCAAAAGTGTGGGTGCTTGTGCTGACGACGGCCTGACCGCCTACTGCATCAATCGAAGAATGCGTGTGGCCTTTCATCCCAAAGGCCAAGTAGACCTGCTCAAAGACTTGAAGAAGAACAAGCTTGATAAAGCAGCGCAAGGTCTTCGAGTTTTTGTTCTCCCGGCTGGTATTGTCAAGGACCAAGTACAAGCTTGATGGTAAAGAACGGCCAAGATGAAGGTAGATCTGGTTCAACTGTCGCGCCATCACATCAAAATTGGTTGCTGAATCTTTGCGCATGTCCGTGTCTGAAACAGCGAACTGCAGAGCGTGAGCATGGGTCCAGCACATGGCCACATGTAAACTTGGACGTACCACAGACTCGAATGATTTAGTTGCCACCATGCAGCGAGGAACTTTGTGTTTGGCTTGATCAAGCCCATCACATCGCATTGTTAACACACTCAAGTTGTTCCTGAGCTGCGTCACAGGTGTTCCTGCACGCACGGCTGCGTGGGACTCACACCCCAGGGCTGCCCAGGCTGCGTCGCACTGCCTATCACGCCAAACTTGCAGCAGGTGGTGTGAGTAGCTTTCCAAGACCTGGCAAGGGTTTAAACAATCCATCAATGTTCATGCCCAAGTCGAAACACACAGCAACACGTTGCGCCACCATCCTGCCTCTGTTCTCTGCTTGATCGACTGCTTCCTGAGCAAGACTGTGGGTAGTCAAGTGAACGCAGTAAACCCATAATCAACATCATGAACCACATGCCAATGCAGCTTGGGCTCTTGCGTTTCAGTTCCTGTTTGTGCCAGAAGCAGCTGTCACATATAGCATGTTGCCCCTTGGACTTTCGAAAGGCTATCCAGGGGCGTGCCAAGCGCAAGGATCGCCGGAAAGTCGTGAAACTGGGCACTGGTGCCAAATTGTTTTGCCCACACCATTTTCGGAAAACAGAAAACATAAGTGCAGGCTTCATCACTCCTAGCCACCTGCGTGGTGCAGCTGCAGCTCCTGGTCCCATTGTGACACTGTGGTGAGGGTTGCTAGTCACCAGATTGTGCAATGACATTGCCGCCAATGCTCTTGCGTCTTCCTCTTTCCATGCTGCAACGTCACGCTGACCACCTTCCTCTGAAGAATCGTCAAACATTTCACTCGTCAAACGATCACGCTGTTTTGGACCTGGAGCACACAGCAGGCGCCCTTTGCAAGTGATCTTGTCGAACTCAAACTTGTCAGGTAATGATTCCCCATCAAAATGATATCTCTGCTGTAGAAAACGAGTGCAATGGTCAAGCTGGAACTTCTTGTGGGTTGGATGCTTCGTGCCCTTGCTTCGACCGTCAGGGCGACCATCAAGTACCTGACATCGCATCAAGGTTTGATTGATTGCAAGGGAGGGCATCACGCGTCAAGCTCAGCAGTCTAACGCATGAAGCACTTGTCAAAAACATGAACGTTGTGTTCATTGCCGCCAAGGTTCTCTTTGCAAACGGGAGTTGCCAATTCCCAGGGCAAACAATGCAGTCCTCACGCAAACCTTCGAAGACCCATGGTCAATAACACCTGTCAAACTCACAGATGGCTGCTTTGTTGCTCGTTTTGGTCGGCGAGCTGGCCTGCTTGCTGCCGACTTTGATCCTCTGTATTGCAAAGAGCCTCTACCAAGTCTTTTAGTCTTTTGCTTGCGCCTGTCACTGCTGCTCTCACTCTGGCTTGTTGTGACTTCCTGGCCTTCAGCCTGTGCATCCTCAGGAGACACGCTTGTTTCCTCTGTAGAAATGCTTGTCTCTGGAAGCACTCTCTTTGTGCCCTGAGCCTGAGGCTGAGGTGCGTCTGCTGAATGAGCTCTTTGGAAGATCCACAATAGCTCACGGTCTGCAATTTCCTTTGGCAAGGAGCTGAATTCAGCCCGCCAAGCTTGAAGGCGATCCAGGTTCTGCTGCAAAACTGACAAGCACTTGAAGCCACATGAATCGCACCCAGTGCTTGCAGACTTCAACTTCTTGCACAAACGCGTGCAAAAGCTTGACCAGCTATTGGGTTTCGCAGCCTTCTCAATTCCACTTGCACTGGTTGTCACAAGTGTTTTCGGCACTTCACTACTTCCTGCAAGTGCAAGTGGCACAACTTGCTCCGCTGGCGAGTGCAGAGTGTCTGTGGAAGAACTACTCATCGCTTAAGGAAACGCTTCTTGCCTTTGACAAACCATCTTGCTTCCACTTGAGCCTGCAAACAAGAGAAGCTGAGCTTACAATGCGTTGCCTTGCCAAACATGTGTGCAATTTTGTCGCGAGTCGCAAGTCACACTGGCTTGGCCATGCTTGCCCGGATCCAGCACTGTTCAATCGCAACAGCCGCTTTAACGCCTCATTGGTAACCAAGTGGTTCTGAAACAACAGCATGCCTTGCCATGTCTGACTAAATCCAGCCACGCTCAGTCCATTTGCAGGAGAATGGCCACCAGCGCGGCAATCACGATGTTACCCGTGAACGCGTTCCCACAGAGCTCCTGCGCCTCACTGACTGACAAGTGGTCCCGGAGGTTCACCATGGCAAGCTCCTCTTCTCCCATACCTTGTAGTTCAAAAGGCAACTTGGCTGAGTAGTTCAATGTTGGATGGCCATTGATGAGGTATAGGTATTTCTTTTTTGGAAGCAAACAAGGGTGAACACAGCTGTGGAACTGGAGGAACCGTATCGAGTCGCCAACGCTGCCCACCACTGCGGCCTGCTGACGCAAAGGCTTCTTCCTGTTGAACACTGCCAACTTCAGCAAACTCACGTCCACCTCCCGATCTGTCAACTTCAATGTCAAGAGCTTCTCTCGCAGCGCAAGGCCTTCAAGCTCATGCTTCTCGATCTGCTTCTGCTCCCTGAACTGCTCATGCTCTTGCTTCCATTTGCTGGACTTGGCACCCTTGGCACCCTTTTGCACAGCCTGGCCTGCCATTTTTGCCACATTGCATCGTTCCAGGACAATAATAAGGGGCTCTGGCATGACATGGCAACGGGAAATCAGCTTCCAGGCGTCCTCAACCTTCTGAGCGGAGCATGAGCTCAACTTGGCAAAGATTCCCCAAGCGCGAGTGCGGTTCTGCGCGACTCCAAAGTGCTTGCTGTTCAGGACCTGCATTTGCCCCACATCAAAGAAAAGAAGTTGACTTCAAGGAGAAAACTTACGGCATCTCATTTTTTGAGGCCATGAAACCAAAAAATGCTGTTGCAGCCAAAACTCTTGCCATTTGCCCTGGTAGCCTAGACTCTTCAGCTTCTCGCTGACCACGACTGTTCCTTGCTCCTGCACTGCCTTTCGAAGCTTTGCTAAATTCGCCACACATTCCACAAGGATGAACTTGGGCCTACTGTCAAGCGCCAAGCGGGCCAGGTAGGCTACGAACTCCACAAACGAAGATCCACTGCGCCCTGCCTCGTCCACAACACTCCTTGGCGTTGGCGACAGGGCCGAGATATCATCACATTCTATTGCCTTGCAGGCCAGCTCGCACTGCAAGGGGTTCGCCAAGGCTGCCAAATCACCTGTCTTCCTGAAGATGACTGGTGAAGGGCCAAGCGGGTCCACTGCGCCATGCACCCTTTTAATAACCTCCTGTTTCCAGGGCACCATTTCTGTGTAAAACACTGTGCTCATGTCCAAACGGCAACCAAGTGCTTCTTGGACAACTCTGCTGAGGCCAGCTGCCGCAATTGTGCCAGTGCCCATGCCGGCACAAAATTCACCCATGGTCAAGGGAGTCTGCGTTGACGTCAAGCGCTTCAGTTTACTCTGCTCATCAACTGTCAACACATGCTGCACCAAATGCCTTGCAAACTGCAACATGCTGCTGCTTCGTGGAACGCTACTGCGCTGTGGCTGATGATTGTCAATGCCCACCGTAGAGTCTTCCGTTGACGCTTCCTCCTCATCTGAGCCAAGATGTGGTGCCACTGCCTGCTCTTCCAAAGTGACTGAACCAGAGGCCTCAGACTTCTGACCTTTTTTTGGCTGAGCCTTTGGCTTCTTTGAAGCCGCCTTTGGCTTCTTTGAAGCCATGCTCTGTTGCTTCAGTGCTTGGCATGCTGTTGCAATGCGGGCCGCCTCATCATCGTCTGACACTGGTGTGCTTGTGCCTGATGAACTCTCAGACTGCGCACGCTTGCTGCCACGCACATCACCCTTGGGCTGCGCCTGTGCTTGCCCTCTGGCACCGCGTCCTCTGCTTTGCGCGCGGGCGCGACCCCGTCCCCCACGAGCAGGTGGCTGTTCGGAATGCTCTGTGTCTGTTCCACTGGCGGACATGCTCACAAGAAGAATCAGAACTGGTCTGCCTACAGCTTGATGCAAGGCAAAAACATATAAACCGTTGCCATCCACTTCAATGTGGCATGCTCACTGTCATCTCGGTGCACATGACAGTCGCATTTTCGACACAACGGTTCTAGCGTGCCAAATGGTTTAAATCTGCTTCCCATGGAATGGCGCCATTCCTACCCCAAAAGACTGCCAAGGACAGTCTTTGCCCTCAGTGATTCTGATGCTTTTCAAAATACTCTTTAGCGTACCCCACAGCCAAACTCTCATAATCAGAGGTTGCCTTTGCGGCAGCACCCCACCTGTCACGGCAGTAGTGCCAAAAGCGGTCCTGCAATGGCACGCCACATGAATGGTAACAATGAACCATGTAAGCATCACAGGCAGTCCTCATGCTTGACAGGGTCGGCGAGGCTTGTGCGCAGCATGTTGTCAAACGCATTTCTGATGGCCATCCAGCGGGCACTGCCTGCTTCCCCAGAAGGACATGATCTGCAAGCGAAAGTCTTCTTTCGCTTTACATCGTTCTTCTTGGCCACTTCTGCAGGGCGCTTGACAGGGCCATCGCTGGCACTCAGCTCTTCCTGCAACGCCAAACTTCGAAAACAAGGAAAACCATGCCAAGTCAAGGCAGTCCTGGCCAAGAACTTCCGCTTGCTCCTTCTTTGTCAATGTTGGCTCGTTTGACCCGTCGCAGACAGCCAAGGGCCTGATGGTTTCATGTTCATTTGTGCTTGGTTAAAGCTGAACAAATGCCAACAAAGAACGCAGCAGTCTTGCTGCCGTTGTCATGAGGCTGATCTTCCAGAGCAAGCGCATGCCTTCACATAGTGACGTGTCACCACACAGCACCTTGCTTGACCACGATTCGGATTTTGAAGCATAAGGCCCAGGCGGCTTTGGAGGTGTTTCCAGATCTCCCAAAGCCAGCCTGGCCCGCAACACGAAAGTGGAACTTAAACGCCGTGCCAGCGACAAACATGCAACTAAGGCGCAGTAGGTTCTTGGGCATGACAGTGGGTGAAACATTGGAATCATTGTTAGCTCTGTCAGGTGTCTGAAAGCTTGTCCTGGCAACAGCACAGTCAGCAAACCACATGACTGACTCGTGGAGCACAAACTATTTGCCGGGCAAGGGGCTGCAGTTGCAACAGCCGCGGCTTCGTTGCTGCTGCTGTTGGTGGCTTCTGCGTATCCACGCTCTGAGCTGGGCCATCATCATCGTCTGGGCGCAATTGCCAATGCATGGCACGCGCTGACAGCGCCAGAGACATCTTCTTCTGCGAATCCTCGCTGGTCGAGAATAAACCCACGTCTGGCTCCGACTTCTTCATTGCCCCTGTCATCAGATTGAACGCAGCTTCGCCAGCCATGACGATCAGCTAGCGTGGAAACTGCTTCAAGTGCAAAAATGGCTGGGCAACACAAAACACAAGCATTACCTGCGCAACATCAAATCTGTCGCAATGAAACACATGGCAAGCCTGGGCGCTCCTTTGTCAAGCAAGTGCCATGCGCAATGGCACGGTGTCAAGCGACTGAAGGTTTTGGCGCCACTGTGAGCTAGGGACTCACTCAAAATAAAATGAAACCATCAACCGCATGCTTTACTATCAGAAATGACCCTTGTCACTAACACTCGCTCACCCTGTGCTCCCTGGGCGTGAAAACAATGCGAGAGCCCTACTGACTGTCCCTGGTCAGCTTTACAGGCTTGCCGGCTTCAAGCTTCAAGTCACGATTCACAATCAGCAGCGGCTTCCTGATAGTGATCTTCCCATGAACCGCGTCAAACGTTCCTCGCCACATCCAAGCAACCTTGGTGAGAAATTGTAACACAACAATCAGGCATTGAATTGGCTGCTTGTGCAACATGTCTTGCCAACAAGTTGCTACTGGGTGAAAATGCTGCTTCAAACACATCCTCACAGCATTCCCTGATGTATACGAAGTAGGTTCCTTGTCCTTGCAAATGAAAAACCATTTTGGGTCCTGTGGTGTGATGTCAAACCCGTGGGATGATGGCGATGAGCGGACATTCACTGTGTGCCCCGTAATACTGAGTGACTGCGCTGCTGTGGCCTTCAACAAGTCCTTCGCAATCATGTAAAAGGTGCCCTTCTTGAGCTTGCTGTTGCTGTCCTCTGTGTCAGCTGTGCTGGTGGAGACCTCCATGAGATCCTTGTCTGACTTCAGCTCAAATGGGAGGCCCTCTGTGGCAGCCTGCTGCAGCTTCCCCCCACCAGGGCCTGCAATCCGTGTCCCTTTTTTGAGCACTATGTTCTCCTGCAGGGCAAGTCTGCAAACATAAAGACGTCACAAGTCTGGTGAAGCACATGTTACCTTGCGCAGTGCTGACTTGCAGGCCCAGTCCTTGCAGCACAGAAATACGTCCCCCTTGTTGGAAATCAGCAAAATGACCTTTTTCTCATCAAAGGACTTGCAATCCACCGTGATGACGTGACTTGTGCGCAACGCCTGTTCACTCTCGATCGAAGGAAGTTCCTCGGCCACAGTCGAAGGAAGAGGGGTCTCATCTGTTGGGTCAACCCGAGGGTCGTCCATGCCCACCTGACCTCCGCCTCGCTCTGCAGGGGCAACATGTGGGAGCGGCGTCAAACGACCTTTGAGCATCTCAGCATAAGAGCGACCATGGTGTGCAACCAACTCCTCCAGGTCAGCTTTCACACTGGGGGGCGCTGCGCTAAACTCGGCCAATGCTGTAGGGGAAATGACGATGTCTGAGCCAGACACAGCGCAGACTTTGAAGCTCAAATTCTGGGCCCCCTTGTACGCTTCATATACACCAGGGACGCCCTTGAGTTGCTCAATGTCATCCTCACTAAGGGCCTTGGAAGCGACTACACTGTGACTACACCCTGGTTCAAGCTCGACATGATGATGGGACATGACCATGATCAAGTCGACATGCAACAATATCATAGCAGAGTGGCGTTGGTATCAGACACAGGAGGCACCACAGTGCCAGAGCCATCCTTCAACTTGAATTCATGCTTCATCCATTTCTGAGCCACGTAATGCCCCAAGCGCTTGGTGGTCCATGCCACGGCTTGCGCACTTGGCTTGAAGGAGCGCACACTCGCCAAGAAATGCCTAATCGGCAAGCCCTCATTCCACAAGATGACGCTCGCTAAACAGTGATCACCAACATGCACGTGAATGTCGAGGATATCCACCTGGCCAAGCGCAATGCGGCGCCCAACTGACGGCTGCCAACAAGGGCCTGCCAACAAGGGCCTGCCTGATCGTTGGGCCGCAGCATGTGCACCACATCAGGGTTACTCTTGGAGGTTTGCAGCAAATGACGATAAAGCACAACGCATGCGTCTGCCTTGGATGTGCAACTGCCCCTGCTACTGCTCCAATGCTTGACATCCGTCCCTTGAAACGCGCTCAATGCCTGACACAGCCTTGTGCTGCTTGACAAAGCCCTTCAGGCTTGACAGGGTTCCTTCTTTTTACACGCGCAAAACCCCTGATGGTTGACCTCAATGCCTGACGCAAAGCCTCCCCCTTGAACATCACACCTTTCTTGTCCAAATGTACAAAACCACTTGAACACTTGACAAGTGATTGGCGCTTCCTCTCGCCCCCCTCCCCTCTAACAATGGCTCTGAGGTGCTCCCTTCTGAGCACTGCGTGTTGCAGCATTCACCCGCATGCTGTCCACCTGCTCACTGTCAGCAGCTGACGGAGTCACGGCAACCATTTCCGCATTGGACACGACAGGCGCCGCTGGCGCCAAGCCGGTGCGAGCCAGCTCGGAGTATCGGACGAAGTGGTTGCTTTTGCAACTGGCGCTAGTCCCGTAGAAGAAAAGCCGACCGTGCTGTGCAAAATCCCACTGAAGCTGATTCTGTGACCTCAGATGCATGCTGGACTCTTTTGCCTGTCCAGCAACACCCTGAACAACAAAGCGTCCTGGATAACTGCGAACAAAGGGACTCTTCCATAGGGATCACAAGTGGCTGAGTCCATCTCAAGGAGAAGGCGAAGCCCGATGCTGCCATGGACTTGCAAATCCTGAGCGTCGTATGCAAACATAGATCTATTGATTAATACGAACAAACCAAACAAATGCGCTGAGTCTCTGGACCTCGTCTTCCAGTGGATCTTGGTCACTTTCCTCACGTGGCCTGGAAGGCATGATCGCCAGGCCACCGACTGGTCAGCGCCCTTAGGCTTGATGATATTGGTCACGGTTGCAATCAGCTTTGGCAGAATCAAAGCATTTCTAGCCTGACACGCTTTGCAAAGTGAACACGGCAAGAGTTGAAGCACAAATGTGTGCGCTACTCACATGTCTCTGCCTGCGGGGTGGTGAAGTCAAGGTGGATCACAGTCAGCACTTTGCTGTCAGTCGTCAAGCGATGATCGGATGGTGGATGCGAGGACAAGGTTAGAAAGTCTCCAGAGAGAGTGGTGTAGTCAGCACTCTCGATCACAGGAACAGAAGACTGCTGGAAGGCATCAATCATTGCCATGGCCTTCTTGGCCTGCTCAAGTTTTCTGGAAGTCGCTAACCAGTCAAGCATGTCATGAAGCACGTCATAGCCACCGTGGAGCGTGGTGATTTGACGCTGGTCCATGACCAATTTGGTTTTGAGTGTTGTCAGCTTGGCTTGCCTGAGTCACACTGCCACAATGAAAATGCAATCAACAGGGGCGGCATTGCACATGGTCAGCAAACATTCCTGCGTGCCATGGCACCACTCTTCTTTCTCAGCTTGTTCCAGAATTTCCTCTTTGGATGTCATTCCATCGGCAACATCTGCAATTGCAGCGACGTCTGGCATCATGGTCATATTCCATGACGTTGGCCAGAGTCTCAAGGCTCGCTTCACCTGTGAATCCAAGCAGTCACCTTCACAAAGTGCCTCCTTCACTACAGTGTATTCACTGGGCGAAAGATCCTTCTGCGCAGCTGTCTTGATGCTTCGGAGCCAATGGCAGCAAACCTGCACCCAAAGGCAAACAGCAAGTCTGAGATTGCAAGCCTACTGCCTCTGCGCTTGAACTTGTTGAGCGGACGGCGCTTAAGTGCTGCCAAGTTGCAAATCGGTAGGTCCACAAAGTATCAAGGTTGGGCCGTGCGCTGGCAACTGATGTGTCTGGGCTCTTCGTCACCTCATTCTCGTAAACACTCAGCATCTTGGCAATCATCATCTCGTGCTCCTCAACTGACAATGGACTTGCGAAGTCCAATGCCACCGTCGCAAGCCTGGAGCAGACTGATTTGCGAGCAACTTGCGCTGCGCTCTGTCTTGCGATCTCTTCGGCTTCGTTTGGCATCATGTCAGGGCATGGGGCCGAAGTGGGCCACATGTGCTTCCAAGAGAGGATCTGGTCTGTCACACCACTGCGAAGGACACCAAGAATGGATTGGTGAGTCTGCATCAGCAAATAGCTCTTGGGGCTTGCGAAGCTCAAAATGTTTCGAATTGCACGCTGTTTTGCCTGACCAATTTTGATTTCCACATTGTCATTGGCCTGTGTGCCCGTTGTGCTTGGGCCTGATGTTGGTGCATCAGTTGCTTTGGCGCTTTGCCTCCTTGACTTCCTCTTTTTCACCTGACTGAGTCAGAGACATGACCATGATCCCTGAATGCGAAGCACAAATTTATATGCTGCCATGGCACTGGCGCAGGCACTTCCATGGCCACTCCTTCTGCTTGAACCTTGCTCTCATAGCCGGCAAGCATTGCATCGAAGCTCTGCAACAAGGTCTTGGCAATTTGGCCCCTGGTGATCGGATTGCTCCATGAGAAAAACTCTGCATCCTGGAGGGATGGAGCCTCAGTGAACGCTGCCGGTGTATCTCTTCGCCATTTAGCAAAGGCATGTTTCCTGTCCACACGCATTAATGCTAGCAAGAAGCCTTTGGGAATGCTGACAGGATTACCAAATGGCACCACTCAAGGGCTGTGAGAGGCTGGACCTGTGTGCCCTTCACGTTCTGCCTAACCGCACTTTGAATGAGAGAATCAGTCCCCTTGTCCTCCTCAAATAGAGTTGGCAAAGAGAGCAAATTGCCAAGCAAGTTCACTGCTGCCGCGTCAAACGTGTTGGCGTCAAACGAGTCTGCAAGAATCGCATTCCGTAAAGCCACGTACCTCTGACGCTCGCACAATTCAAGCTGACAACTCAAGCAACTAGCTGCAATAAAGCAAAATGCGGCCGAAGGTAACAACCAAGTGGCACAAGCTTGCATGCCAGCCCGCGCTTGCTCCCATCAGCAAAGCAAAGCTTGCGAAAGCCTTGACAGTGGCCGCGGGAAACCATGGTCTCTTCAAGATGGAAGCCGCTGGATATTAGCGACTGTGCAATCGCAACAATGGTTGAGCTGTCTGAGCTCATACCATTCCATATGCTTTCACCTGGGCCCAATGTCAGTCAGTCTTGGCCGTGTCTTGAAAACAGATGCAACACCCAAACAGAAGAATGATCAGTTCGATTGATGGAGCCAAGTTGCTGTCAAAGCGCCATTGATGGATAATAGTTGTCCCCACTGTCCCCCAAGCAGGAATGGCCTGACCTGCCTTGATCTTCTCATCCACCCACGTTGTGTCGTTTCCATGCAACTTCATGTAAACAGCCTGGATTTCTTTCACAACTTCTTCCTCTGTGTCTGGCAAAGGAATGTCCGCAATCACTTGTGCAATGCACTGCCTGTGCTCAGCAACCTCCTCATACACCGCTGTGATCTCGTCTGACAGCAGCTTTTTCCAAGGAGGTACAAAACCAGGCAGCGCCATGCTACCTGAGGCCAACCAGGAGCACAAAAGGAGGTGGGTAGGGAGTTGGAACAAACACATTTTCTTTCATCGACAATGGGATGCCTGCCGGGGTGCTTGGCTGCTGGGGTGTCCGTAGGACTGGGCAGACGGGGTGTCCGTAGGACTGGGCAGACGGGGTGTCCGTAGGACTGGGCAGACGGGGTGTCCGTAGGACTGGGCAGACGGGGTGTCCGTAGGACTGGGCAGACGGGGTGTCCGTAGGACTGGGCAGACGGGGTGTCCGTAGGACTGGGCCTAATTTCCCACACAATCCTAGCCCTCTAAGGTTCATACCTCCGCCAGAAAAACCTCAAGTCCGATGGCAACTAGGGAATGCCGTAGACCTGGGTCTCTAGACTGTCCGTAGGGGTTCAGGCCCTGCCCCGAAAAAGGCCCGAGTCCGATGGCAACTAAGGAATGCCGTAGACCTGGGTCTCTAGACTGTCCGTAGGGGTTCAGACCCTGCCCCGAAAAAGGCCCGAGTCCGATGGCAACTGAGGAAAGGAATGCCGTAGACCTGGGTCTCTAGACTGTCCGTAGGGGTTCAGACCCTGCCCCGAAAAAGGCCCGAGTCCGATGGCAACTGAGGAATGCCGTAGTCTTGGGTCCCTAGACTATTCGAGGGTTGCTGTTGTGTTTGTATGCATTGGCTCACATGACCAGGTTTGGTAACCGGGTAGTTCCAGCCGTAGGGATTGGGCCTATAAGGGTGGAACCCCCCAAATGGGATGGCAACTCCCAGGTGCCGTCCCAATCGCAGGGTATAAGCACTTCCAAGACATGCCACTGACCCCTAGCATGGACTGCTAAACCCCCATGATTGGGATGGCAACTCCCAGGTGCCGTCCCAATTGGGCGCCTTGAGGTAAGACCCCCCAAACCCGATGGGGCCAACCACCTTGTCACAAAGTCTTCCCCTTGCATGCCAGGCTGCCCACTTCAAGCTCACTGGCTAGGCGCGAAGCTGGTCACCAAAAGCTTTGAGCAGGGTGGTCAAGCGGCAAGCTGACTTGTCAAGCGAGCAACAAACACAGATAACTCTTTATGCAAACAGCAGCCTGAGTTTGTAGAAGCATGCTGAAGAACACATTTGCAAACTACATGCTGAGGTGTCCGTAAAGGCTGCCCTTGTCCCCCTACGGTAGCTCTGCAATGTTCCAATCGATGGACTACAGCAATGTCTGTATCGCATGGACACTTGACAGATTTCAGCCACACCAAACTAAGCTGAGTGTCCGGCCATGCATGCAAGTGGACGATTGCGCCTGTCTTCAGTGTGACAATCGCAGGTTAGTTCGATTGACGTTGGGCCACACTGTTCGACTCTTGGCCGTGAGCACACTGTGTGACTGCAAAGGCGAGCAAGATTGGTATGGGCTTCTTATGTGCGCGTGTGTGTTGCCGGGTCTGTGATGAAACACTTGTGGATAGAATGTGGACATGATGCTCTCATTTGACCAAAAAATCAATATATCGCGTTTCTACTTTCAGGTTGAAAAACATCAAAGAACATCCACTTTGCCAGGTAGGTGCTAGTCACAGCAAGCCAGGAAGTGTTCAAGACAAACAACCAGAGCCATAATGAAGTGACACTTTTCTTGCTGCTGCTGTGTCCTGCCAAGCGTTGCTGAACAACCAGCGTCGAACCCTGCTATTCTGATGGGTTGCTGTTCACAGCTCGATGCTGCAGTGGCAGGTATGTTTGCTGGAGTTTTGGCAGCCGCTTGCTGCTGCGAGCCGTGGTCAGTGCCTTGGCTAAAAAAAAGCAGCTGTGGGATGAACACCTCAGTTGTACATGACAATGTTGTTGACTGACACTCTGAATCAAAGCAAGAAACTCAGAAATGTAGGGCAGTTCATGTTGCGCCTAGTGTGTCCCAGCCACAAAGCCACATCCACCAAGGGCAGTGCAGAGGGAATCTCCACAAACTTATGCTTGACTTGTGTTACCGCAATAAAGGCCAGTCCTGGTTTGAGCCCTGTTTGGAACCCCACGCAAAATGATCAATTCGCGAAGGGTTCAAGATCTGGGGCGTCCACCATGCACGAAGAAAAGGATTCAGGGCGTGGCCGAGCGGTGAGGGAATGCTTGGACTTGTGCCACTCCTGCTTGGAGCCCTGTTTGAACCCCACACAAAATGATCAATTCGCATAGGGTTTAAAATCTGGTGCGTCCACCATGCACGAAGAAAAGGATTCAGGCCTGGCCGAGTGGTAATGGAATGATTGCATCCTTACGATTGACGATTGACCTCACGATTCACAATTGTTTGCCCCAAACTTGCGATAGATTTTGAACCCTACGCAGATTGATCATTTTGTGTGGGGTCCAAACAGGGCTCAAAACGGGACTGACACAAGTCAATCATTC